ACATATCACTGTACTCTGGTCTCATTATCATTGTGTACTTTGTTCTTAACATCAACTGATAGCTCATATCTGAGTAGTAAGTTCAGGTGAAATTGAAACTTAAGATATGAGAATGATACCATATGTCAAAAGTCTTAACCACAATTGGTGATACATATTTAGGAACAAATAATCATCTAGAAATAAAATGTTTTGACATCAGGAAGGATATCCCTTGTTCCACAACCTCTTCTGAATCCAGTCTGAACTTCTTGCAGCTCACTGTCAGTGTATTGCTGCAACTGCTGTTAAATGCTCTTCAGCAAAATTTTCTTTGGATATGATATCAGTGATCTTGTGCTATAATTTGAGCATTCTATTGGGTCACATTTCTTTGAAATGGGCACAAATATGGCTCTTTTCCAGTCAGTTGGCCAAGTAGCTGCTTTCCAAATGTCTTCTCATAGATAATTAAGTGCTTCAAGTGCTTGCTAAGCCTGTTGAAATATTAGTAATCCATCAATTCCTGGTGTCTTGATTTGGACTAATGCTTTCAGTGTAGCTTTAATATCTTCCTTTAGCATCATTGGATTTTGTTCATATGCACCTCCTGTAATGGTGAAATATGGATTAGTTCTTTTTGAATACAGTGACTCTACATTCTTTCCATCTTCTTTTGATGTTTCCTGCAACATTCAATATTTTTCCCATAGAATCTTTCGATATTTCAACTCTAGGCTTGAATTTTTCTTCAGTTTTTTCTCTTTAAGATATGCTGAATGTAGTCTTCCTTTTTAGTTTTCTCACTCTAGGTCATTGCATTATATTTGACTTTGTCTTCTTGAGTGGCCCATTGAAATTTTCTATTTAGCTCTTTGACTTATAATCTTTTCCACCTGCCTTAGCGTCTCTACAGTTAAGAATAAGTTTCAGAATCTCTTCTGGCATCCGTGTTGATCCTTTCATTCTTTCTTTTCTTTTTAGTGACATTTTGTTTTCTTCATGAAAGGTGCTGTTGATATCCTCCCTCAGCTCATCGTGTATTGTCTTTAATGCAGCAAATCTGTTCTTGAGATAATCTTGAGAGAAAGGTGGAATAGACTCATATTTGGGCTCCCATGGACTTGTTTTCATTTTCTTCAGCGTCAACTAAACTTACATCTGGAGAGTCTGTTCTAAAGCCAAAGCCTGGTCTGGTTTCACTGCTGATATTGAGCTTCTCCATTGTCTCTTCTCATAGATTAGGCAATTGGATTTCTCTGTATTCCATCTGGAGAAGTCCTTATGTATAGTGTTGCTGAAAATAGACATTTTCTATAAACAAGCCATTGGTCTTGTTCATAGTTTCCAATCCCTAATATTGATACCACATTTAAAATTGGTTTATTATCAAAATTATCAATATTGAAGGAGTCAGGAATTTTTATTCTCTCTCTCTTGTTTATTTTTTCACCTCTAAGTATAAAATACCAACCTCTCCCCTTTATTCTTTTAATCACTAGGATTGGGAGAATAGGGTATAAGATTGGCCTTTTCTACTTTTGCCTTTTTTTTCTTATTCTTTTAGCAATTATCCTGAACTTAAAGTAATACTTAACACTTTTACCCTTTGTACTTTATTCACCTCTTTTTTTAAAAGTCCAACTACAGTACTAAGCCTCAATGAAGGATTTAGTTATCTTCTCTATCATTGAATCAATATTTGACTTTTGTCATTCTTTTTTATACACATTCAACTCATTTATTATAACATAATACTGTGTCCTGGTAGTTGGAACTAGTAAATGGAAATCAATTTCTATGCCTTGAACTTAAAAATTCATAATTTGGTTGAAAGATATCAGTAGCCAACTTCAATATAGTGACCCAACAATTTAATATCATAAATAAATGTAGAAGCATGGAGAAAGAGATAACTAATTTCACTTTGAGGAGTTAGAAATTCATGCTATTAATTTGACACTGCAGCTTAAATTTTAATCAATAATAGTTATTTGTTAATAAAATGAGGCATAACAAAGTATTTTACAGAGAGGGGTAGAAGAAATAAAATAAGTGTTAGAAAGTAGATTAAATTAAACTTTTCTTATAAAATAAGATATAGATTTCTATATATTCATTTTTATTATGTTCCCTGGGAAAAACACAGTTATATACAGAAAGAATGAGTGGAGATTATTTTTTAACCTGGTAATCAGTATGTGCTTTCTAGGGGTGTTTATCCTTATATACATAGACATTCTTGTGTCTTCAATTTATCAACAACTGGGATTTTAATTTCTTGAGATTCTTCTAGGTGTGAGATACTTTCATATGTGAATTTGTTTAATTAATACCAACAGTTAAAGAAGAAACTGAAATCCAGATAAGTCAAATATATTATCAAATTTTGTAACTTCATTAAAGGTTAGAGCAAAACTTAAAAGTTCAAGAATTTTTAAATTTATTAAGGTGACTTTTAAATTTTAAAAAAAGTTTTAATATATGGCTCGTATTTGTAGGCCACATAATATTTCTATTGAATAACACTGTTACTGACATGATTTCATGTTTCTACAAATTGAGTATGATATCCAAAATATGGAAAGTATGTGTGTCTATTGCACATAGAAGAATCAGTAAATTACCCAGCCCTTAGACTTCTTGTAAATATGTGTAAGTCTTTAGTCACTTATATGAATTTTATTAAAATTCTTTCTTGGAGTAAAACTATTCTTTTAAAAATATCACACAGAGCATGTAGAGCAATACGGCAGAGGTGAGGTGTCTGGAGTTTTTCTTCTCCTTTTAAGAGCAATGCATAGACTGGCCAACTTTTATGTAGGGTAATAACATAAGATATGTATATTGAGGCAGTATAGTAGTTTTTGTTATAAATAATTCTTACCCCTCCAAAGAAGATAGTCATAGTGCAAAAGTGTTCTGAATGAAAAGAAACTACAGTGAGGTGCCTCCCAGTTCCTGAAGCTACACGAAGAAAGGGGCATCTGTTGCAAAGAGATTAGTTTTGATTTTTGTTTTCTCTCTTTCTTTTTGCCCATAGATAAATTGTAGGAGTGTGGGAGACAGCTATGAGAAGGCTGTCTATAATCCCTACTTGCTGATATGCCTGCTTCTTTGTAATTATTTCCCATTGAGCACGGGCAGAACACAAGATGTGCTCTAATAGATGCTGGCAAAGGTGATCAGACCAGCCTCCCCTGATTATGTTACAATATATACCTCCACCCTACTTGCAAATTTGCTCTAGAAATTCTCTTTGTTGCTTTGAATAAGATGCCAACATGGAAAAGAACTGCAGGTGACCTGTAAGAGCGGAGGTCTGCCATGCACAGGCTAAACAGGAATCTAGACCCTCATTTCTACACATGCAAGGGAGTAAATTCTGTCAACAGCATATTGACTTTGGAAGAGGTTTCTACAGCAGTACAGTTTCTAGATGAGTATATTCCATGGCCGACACCTTGATTACAGCCTTTGATACCCTAAGAGGAGGACTGGGCTAAGCTCATCCTGATCCATGAAAATTGTGAGATAATAAATCTGTGTAGATTTAACCTGACACATTTTTGATACTTTGCTGTACAGCAATAGAAAATGAATGGAAGATGGAAGGTGATTCCATGAGCTGTAGATCCCAAGGCAAGGGAGTCCTTCCTTGCCCACTTAAGAGAAAGTTCTTACATACGTTATCATCTGATGCAATAGTAGTTAGACAAAGTTGAGGCATGTCATTTCGGTTTTTTGTTGTTTTGTTTTTGGTGTGTGCGGGAGTGGTGGTGGTAACAAGTACAGATAACAAACTTTTATGTGGAGAGCTAACTACGTGCTTCTTAAAATACACATTTAAAAGATATACATACTTTGAAATATGAAACATATAAAAACATGACATTGAAAACTAAATTCAACTGCTTTTTAATAACCACTTTGCATTAGCAATCTTTATATTTAAAGATTACATGCTATAATTAACTTAGAGGTCAGCCTGGGACCAAACTATCTTATTAGCAAGTTACACATGTTTGGGACCCATAAAAATCTACTTTATTTGTAGCCCTACCATGGGGAGTTAGCTCTGATTACTATAAACAATGAGGATTTCTGTTGCTCAAAATGTAACAGAAAGACCTATATATTCAAATAAATATTGATGCTCTGTTGCTTATATGCAACAGAATAAAATCATGGCCTTCCTTTTAGAACCAAGCCAACTTCCAATGAACAAAGTCAATAATTTATTTGCTTCTTTCTCAGGAACAAGTAGTGAATATCCAAGTAGCATGTTTCATGTTACATCTATTTGAGAGCATCTCAAATGTAAAATTCAAGGTCAAAGTAAATACACATGAGTAAGTTATCCAATGGTAGTAGGAGTAGTAGTATTCCCACGGTCTTTGTATTTTGAGTTAGGTCTTACCTTAAAAGTCTCTTATACGCAACACAATAATCTATGATTAAAAGGACATCAGTTTACAGATAACTAATTGATTAAATATATTACAAACCCTAAGTGTGAAACAAACCAACCAACAAACAAAAATTTTTAAAACCAATGAAGCAACAACTTTGAGAGTCTTCCTGAATTAATGATCCAGGACAGTTATTTAATTTACTAAGTAGAATAGACTGAAATATTTTTCCCCTGTATTTAAAGGTAAGGTAAGAAAATAAATTTGGATTTCCTTTAGAGAAATAAAAAATAATATACTCTTTATACACTTAAATTTTTTAATGTTCCATATTCATCTAAATTTACAAACACCAAAATAATCAAATCTATTGGCATTGTTGTTATATAACTTAAATCAACTAAGCACTGAATTAAATACTTTACAGAACTTACATAACACAAAATTCAATTTTTAAAGATCATCTGTTTTAATTATATTTAATTACACACACATGTCTATTTAAGAACCAATTTATACTGATGGCACTGAATAAAGGAAGGTAGAATTGTTAAAATCTGTTATAAAAATTTTGAATACAATTTACATGAATATAAAAATAGCCTTAACATCATTTTATATTTGTTATAATCTTTGAAATATGTTATATAAATTATATTTATAGCACATAAGAAGTTGATGAAGAAAAGAAGTTGTAAATTCTGTGAAACTTGAACCCAGATGTCACATTTCCTTTTAAAGTGGTTTTTATGTTGATCTTCAAGACCAGTAGATTTCTATTGGCTTACTCAGAATAATACCTTCTGTTGCAAGATCAATGTTTAATATCTAAAAATAGACAAAAACAACATTTTTAATGGCATAATTGTTGAAACAGGATCACATTTCTTAAATTAATGAACTAGTGTTTTTCAAATAATCCTTCTTTATCTTATTCATGTAGGATAAATTCATTTCTGGAAGTTCATAAATAGCAATTTGAGTACTAATCTCAAATTATTGTATTTTCAAGATGATGACAATAAATCCCTAAGAAGTGAAGTGGCTTTTTAAATGAAAGTGAAAACTGAGGCCATTACCAAAGTGCCTTGATTTCGATTACTTTGCTTTAAGTCATGATGTTTATAATTGCACTATATGATATTCTATACTCCATCCCAAAGCCTATCTAGTAGTCTACAACCAGTTTAAGGTTTAGAAATGTGATGTTTTTTCTACACCAAATGAAATTGTTTAAGGAGTTTGAATGTATGTCAAACACTGTTAGTCCCAAGTGTTATCTTCTTTTACTGGTTTAATCTAAAATAGACCATTTGAGGATTAGTTGTGGAAATGATCAAATGAAAACCTATTTAAAACAATCATCTGCCATATTTGATGGTAAGATGGCTTCACTGAGCTTTCATCTCATTGGTATTTCTCCAATATACTGTGGGACTCTTTGTGGTCTGCCCAGAAATGTGGAGTCAACCCCAACATAGGCCAGAGAAGTCACTCTCCTGGAGCCTCTAGAATATGTATTCATCACAAGCATTTTTTAGGATATTGTTACTACATTTTATAGTTAGAAGAGTTTACAACAGGGGGGTTCGATGATTTGCTTAATATTCATTCATTAGCTAGATTTGAAACTGCTCAAACGTATGCCAATATCAGAACAAGTGGACACAGGCTGTCCATCTTTATTGGGGTCAGACAACCTCATCTTTCTTTCACGGAGTAGCTGGTGCATTGGAATTGCTGACCTTGCCATTAGCAGTCCAAAGGGTAATCCAACCCGCCACCAAGATTCCTTATAGAGCTCCCAATTCTAAGATCCTATGGCATCCATGGGCGCTAAACATTGTGTCCAAGACAAACTTTACATTTTATTAAAGCTTATTTCAAAAGTGAAAAGCAACCCAATACCAAACTCAGGGCCTTCGAATCAATTCCAACTCACAGCAACCCAATAGTACAGGAGACAACTGCTCCTGGTGCACCCGGTTACACGTTGGCTACTAACCGGCCACTGTAAACACCAGCTGCTCCACGGTAGAAGGGTGAAGCTTTCTACTCCGGTAGTCAGCCTCAGATACACACAGGGCCAATTTTACTCTGTCCTATAAACCCAAGTTGATTCTGCCATATATGGTCCCGAAGGACAGAGTAGAACCGTCTCTGTGGGTTTTCAAGACAGTAACTCTTTCCGGGAGTAAAAAGCCTCTTCCTTTTCTCAAGAAAGGATAGATGGTTTTGAACTGCTGACTAACACGTGAGCACAAGCCTAGCCACCAGTCAGGATCCACTTGATAGCAGTGACTTGACAGTGAGAAGGAAGTTCCTCATTCTCCCCCCGCATGCTTGCAGGGTTTCACATGTTCACTTTGAGGTTAGTACCCCCAAATAACTCCCCATGTCTGCGCATATCTCACAGCTCAGAAGAGCTCATACAAAATGCCACTTCCTATATTGTAAGAATGAAATTACCTCAACAGTTACTGCTATGGAGGGATTCTGAAGCATACTGACTCATGGGCCGGAGTAGAACTGCCCCTGTGGGTGTCTGAGACTGTTACTCAGAGTGTAAGGAGCACAGCGCTTCCTCTTCCGCCCACGGACTGAATGGTTGGATCTAGTTGTTGACCTTGCCGTTTGTAGTCCAAAGGATAATGCGAAATGGCACCAGGACTCCTACAGCCCTGCTCAATTTTAACTTCTTATGAAATGTGTGAGAACTTAAAACTGTGTCCCCAACGTAGTATGTCCCCTCTAACCAGAAATCCAATGGCATGTTATTTTGCTTTGGACAGTCTTACGATGGGACTTTCTACTCCTGAGAGGATTTACAGTCTGGGACACCCACAAGGGCAGATTGACTCTGTTCTTCAGGTTGGTCAGAATTGTGAGACGGCAGTGAGTGAGATCTAGCAGGGCCCCCAGAGGCATTCTTGGGCTTCACACTATGCTTTAAAAGACTTTTGTCCTAATTTTAGATCCAGATTCTTAAAAATCTGAGTACTTTCCTTTTTTTACTTCAATGAGACATCAAAAGAAGATTTAAGGAAATGTCAAGAGTATTTCTACTTCTTGTTTATGATCTGCTAGCCACAAGGTTGGTGGTTCAAACCCACCAGCTGTTCTGTTAAAGCTTTATACTTTCTACTCGTGTCAAGATTTACAGTCTTGGAAACCCATAGGGCAGTTCTGCTCTAGGAATCAGAGTCGACTCTAGGGCAGTGCGTTTCGTTGTAGTGAACATAACTAGGTACCTGAAAATTCAAGCACCGTTTGGAATGCACATGGACTCTTAAACTTCAGCCAGTGACTTATACTAGTTGTTTTCTAGAAGATGGATTATTCGAAACCCACCTTTGAAGACCTAGATATACAGAATTGAGATCTGGGAGGAGCTTATAGTTTAAGGTATTGTTTACTGGCATTTATGTGTTTAATTGGAGAAGAAAAAATAGGTCTAAAATGTATTTGCTTAAAGCTAAGTTAGTTACCAGCAGCAATTGATTTTACCACAAATTTTCTGATTTATTTTTTAGTGTTCTGTACAGAAGTAGCATCTCTTGTATATCTATCTTCATATACTCTGGGTAGTTATATTAGTTTTGCTAAATTAAAATCTTTGGCCATCATCCACTTAGTTTCAGTTTATAACAATCCTCTAGGGGAGACTAGAGTTTTCTCACAGGATTTCCCAGGTTGTAAATTTTTACAAAAACAAATTGCCACATCTTTTCCCCTCAGAGCCGCAGGAGGGTGGGAAATCCTACCTTTGGTTCTCAGCTGGGCACTTTAACTAGTGCAGTACAGATTCCTTCTCATTTTGCAAAGAATCTTGAGGATATTTTATCAAAGGCCTAGTAAATGTTATTTCTGAATTAATTTACATGTGAGGTCTCTTCAAATAATTTGTGGAAAAATGGAATAAAAGATAATGGAATTTTCTCACAAACTTTTTGAAGCCCCTTTGCCTAGGGACAACAGTTATTTAGAAGCTTAATAATAATTTAAAGATGTTCTCAGGACACATTAAAATATGCCACTGGTTTGATTTTTATGAAAGTGTATTAAAGATGAAAGTGTGATTTAACTGAAAACATTAACCCATAATTAAACCATAATTATATTTCTCTAGGGTTCAAAAGTACACCTACTTGAATGTTTCAACTGGCTCCATTTAACAACTTATTTGTACATGTAACTCACCTCCTTGGCGGGATCTTGAGTAAATTTAAGTGGGATGGTATTTCCTTCATAGATGGCATTGACCCTCGTGACAGGAGTCTTTCCTTTCCCCCATACTTTGACATAGCCAAGTGTTGTTTCGTTTGCATTTAAATAACCAGTTTTCAGAACAGTGCTTTTCAAGATAGTCTACAAAGATAAAGAAATAATGTATATCTTTCTTCTGCAAAAGCAATGGAATATATTTTTAAACTAGGTTGGCTAAACAGAAGGATGTTTAACATTACAGCAAAGCCATGCATTAAAAATTTAACATAATTTTCTACAATTACATTCAAATTATCTCATCCAAATACGTACGTTGTTTAAATTGAATTGTGCCATTAAATAGAGGTTTCTTTCATAAGTGTCTGGAGAGAGAGAAGAGAAAAACATTTTATTTTCAAACAACAATATTGTATACAAGTATATTTCCTTCTTTTTCATTGTATGGTTCAAAAATATTATAAGCCCATACGCAATATTTTATTAAGAACATTCAACTTTTTCAAGCCCAGTGCAATGAGTGCTTATTTATGAGGGAAGGTGCTACCGAGAAGGATGGACCAGGGTGGTGTAGGTGTGCATATGGAGGCTGAGAGGGAAATATTCTGAGGCAGTGAAGTGTTGGAAATCACATTGAGTGCAGTTCTACAATAGTGGGAAGAAGTGAAAGGAGAACCAGATTGACCGGGAATAGCGATAGCATGTCCTTGCCCTTTGAATGCCTAATTATAAAATATTTACACAGGAAATGAAACACGATAGCAACTTATTCTTGTAACACTTGAAACAATATTCAATTGTTCAAGATTTTTACGTCAATTAAAATCAAATTGGACAAGGTACAACCAGAATGTTCTTCAGAAACAAAAATGGAGAGACTTCCATGCACATGCACTGGATATGTTAGGAGAAGGGGCCAGTCTCTGGAACAGGGCATCAAGCTTGAAAGAGTACAAGGACGTGGGCAATGGAAGACTGCCAATGAGATGGTTTGATACAGTGGTTGCAACGTATATAACTCAAATGTAGCATTGACTATGGTGATGGTACAGAACTAAGCACTTTTTTTGTTGTTGTTCTCTGTGCCTTAATTAACATTATGAAGTACCTTACAACAACCATATTGATATCTTTACCTAAAATTTGTTGTTCTCTTTAAGGCTGTAGTCAAATTTGATTTATAGGGACCCCCGTATGAGAGTAGTTGCCCCATAGAGTGTTTCTACTGATAAATGAATTTTAATGGCTAACATTCTAGGTCCTAGACAATCACTTAAATGTTGCTCCATCAGTTGTCCTTACTAAATTATAATCTTGCCATATTTAAAAGCATTTTTATTAAAACAAACCCTTCCAAATACAAGTTACTGACTGCTTTACTCAGTTTATCATATTCTTTTTTATTAGTTTATCATATTCTAAGTACCTCACCACAGCTCCTATAATATTATTTATTGCTATTACCTCCTTTGTTCATATTTCCCAGATTTTGATGATATGCAAAAACAAATAAGCTATTATTGAAAGGCAGAATTAAATTAATGTCTGTCGCAAGTATTACGATATGATTGAACAAAGCAATAACTTTTTGATTCCCTCTCCACTAATAAGTATAAGCTCTAAGTCACTGAGGTTGCGTTGATTCTGAAACACTGTGACAGTATAGGGCAGACTGGAACTGCTTCTTAGGACAGATTGTAAATTTTTACAGGACCCTAAACCAAACTCTTTGCAAGAGATTCTGACTCATTGCAAACCCTACAGGACAGGTTAGAACTGCCCCTGTGGATTTCTCAGACTGAACTCTTAAAAGGGGTATAAAGGCTACTCTTTCTCCCTTAATGTTTCTGGTGGTTTGAGCTCCCAATCCTGTGGTATAACCCACTAAGCTACCAAGTGTCTGTTAAAGAAAACGTAGTGATCTAGTAAATTTGGTCCTTTGGATAGGAATCAGTACACCCAATCTTCTCCTAATGTTTTCCAACATTTTACACAAAGGTGGATTCCCCATAATCCAGTGGAATTTGGTTGGGTCCCAGACTGCATTTTCTCCCACTCTCCCTGGTGACTCTTGATGCTAATGGTTACCAAGTGCACACTACCAGAAAATTAGCAATTGTTGTCTGGTCTTGAATAGCACTCCCAGAAGAACAAACAAAGATTCATGCTTACGAATGTGTTCTCAATTAAAAAACACACATTATTAAAGACACTAGTCAAAAATATAAAGAGGAAATGTATGCTTGTTTTCTGAACTATCTTAGTTTTAAAGAGATCTCTATGCATTAGCATGTACACATAAAATAGTGCTATATGGCTCATTTGAGCTTACACACATTGAGTGTTTATTATGTAAACAGCACAGTGGGAGTACAAAGATGATATACAATCCCTGTGCACACCAATCTCTTATTTATCTAGACATTTTATTGTAAAGATTTTATTTATTGATAAAAAGTCTTTTAAATGTTTATCAAACTCCTTGTATGTGAATTCCAATAATTATTAAAAATCACTCAGCTTTGGATAACAGCAATAGACTTCTATTAAGTTTTCAAAGAAGAAGACTCATGAAATGGCAGACATGTAAGACTATTTATGTCATCAATTACATTCATCTACTCACTGGAATACTCACCTATAGTGTCTCCATCGTCCCAGAAGAGAGAGCCCTGTGCCATCTGATTATCATCAGCAGCAACAATGAGTCCCATGAATTTTTGGCGACTGTGAGAGAAGAATGTATAGTTTTACCCATGTTTGGTGAATAGCATATGCCTACTGATGACATGTCATGACTATAAGATGGATCACAAACTACACCACAAAGTGTATGTATGAAAGAGAATGCATGCAAACAGGCTTACACAAAGTTAAAGAGCATTCTTTTTTCCAATAAGTTCATAGGAATGACATAGCGCATAAAGCCCTTCATATTTAATAGGAGATATTACTCATGTCTTTTGATCTCAAGTGTTCAGCCACGATTACAAATTATAAGTGACCTCATTTATAATTCTAAAACCAATTTGTCGATGAATATATTGACTTCTTCTCTCTGTTAATAATTTCATTGACTATTAAATAATAAGCTATTTTAAAATCTTATGTTTGATTTCTTATAACTTTGGTTTTTCTCTTCTTTCTATACATATGTCAATGAGTTATTTATCTTTTCTATTACTAATGAGGATGTATAAATTAGCTGGAATATTTTAAGTTGGCTAGGTTTTAGTTTACCTAAGAATTGAAAATGTTTCCAATCTTGAGTGACATTGGCCCATCCGTGAGCAAAGCTCCTGTTTCCATACTCATTTCGCAAGATTTTCAGATATCAACTCGGTTTGATAGACTCATTACTAAAGGACAATTTCTCAGACAAATCATGATGAACTATTTTATAGATAGATAGATATAGATATAGTCACACATACTAAAGGATTTAGTCTGAGAAGTCTCCTAAAACATTCAAACTCATTAAAGTTCAATTCTCCCTAATTATTTGGTATTTTCCAAAGGAACGATGTTCATAATACTATCATGTGTATGAAGGGGCTTAAAAAGTTCATGAAAAAACAGAATTCAAACATGATGAAAAAATGTCCATAAACATTGTGAAGCCCCTTTTGTGTATGTGTGTTTTACATATATGCTCTGTGTGTGCATACATATGTACATATGTTAGTGTATATATTTCAGTTCATTGCAACTGTGATGAAAGACACACAGAGATATATACTATTAGCAACATCAAAAATCCTGCTTTACCCCACAAGTCTCCAGTTTACAACAACATGAGATACTAAAGAGTTTGAGAACTTATATTCTACCTGTTTATACTCGTAAGCCCACATCTATCCATTGTCTCCCACACAAGCACATATAGGATGTCCTTTCTCCTCATAGTTTGTTAAAAATGGGACCTAATGTTGTAGTGGTTAAGCCTTGGGTTGCTAACCACAAGGTCAGCAGTTTGAATGCATCAGCCACACCTTGGGAGAAAGATGAGGCTTTCTATACTCCTACAGTTACAATCTCAGAAACCCACAGGGCAGTTCTGTCCTGTCCTATAGGGTTGCTGTGATACAGAATGGATTCAATTGCAATTAGTTTTTTTTGGGGGGTGGGGGTGGGGCGAATCATTTAAAAATAAAAATAAAAACACCTTCAAGGCTCAACCCTGACTAGTCTCCTCCATGAAGCATTCATCATTAGGCAGAATATTTATTTTCCTCTAACGGAAAACAAGACAGAATACTATTGTAAGTGTTTGTAAGGGATGATAGTAATTCATGCAGGTCAACAGCAAATATGGCATGAGAAAAGAGGTGGTCCCAAGACTGCTTTTTTCAGTATCTGATCATCTAAATTATGTGTTTGGGGACAACGAATAGAAATTCCGCAGCTGTTCTGAGAGATTCACTCACACTGGGGACAGGAGAGCGAGTAAATCTATGATTTTTGGTAAGACAGAGATATTATTGAGTGATAGAGAAAGAATATCAGGTTATGAACTTTGGCCAGAAAATGAAGACCATGAAAGGATTAGTGGTTAAGAATGGGGATGGACAAGAAAATGCATCTAATGTTTATAATGCTGCAGGAGAAGTAACACTTCTAGAAACAGGTGTGCTTCCACCCTGCACAGCAGGGAGCATGGTAATAAACAGGACAAGGCAGTTAGTGTGACAATCATGCCAATAGATCATTTCATTGTCCTAGGCCATTTTGTTTCTTACTAGCACCAGCTGATTCTGGTCCGTGTCAGTTCCATGTGTACTAAGTTGAACTGCTCCACAGCGTTTTCAAAGCTGTCACTTCTCCGAAACAGAGGTGTCACCCAAGCTGCCTCACTCAGAGTGGGTTCAAACCGTCCGTCTTTCATCTAACAGACAAATGCTTTATGCGTCCTAGAGTACACGCAGAGACTCAGCTAAGTTCTTTTTTCTTTCTCTTACATATTTTGAAGTTTATAAACGCAACAATACCATTCTCACGGAGTAAATAATGATAATTTTGACATAATGTAAGAGATAGGAAAATGAGGACTCAAGTGAAGTCACTCTTCAAATTAAAATACATTAATTTGCCAATATATCTTGCATGTTAGATATGAGACATAAAGCTTCTTGTACCTATTCTTTATGGGGCATGTTTCTACTTTAGTGAGGGTGATTATACATTTATAGGATGAAAAGTTTCACTAAGTCTCGTACATTTCTGCATGTCTTGGCTGTAGAGGCCCAGTAGTTTTTCTTCTAAACTATCTTTTCCTGAATATTTTAAGCAGAGGAAGATAGTGAAGTAAATAGCAAGGGTGGGAGTTATTTTGTTTGGCTTTGCTTTTTTTTACTGCCCATTATAAAAAGTCCTCCATCACAGCCAAGAAGGTGGATAGGTTTAAATAACAACAACAACAAAGAAAAACAAACAAATAAAAGCAATTTCACCGCCAGAGTCAATTTGACTCATGGAGAGCCTTCAAGAAGGCCACACTCGAACTGCCACTTTGAGTTTCCAAGACTGAAAATCTTTAAGGAAAAGAAAGCCTCATCTATCGCTCATGGAGTTGCTAGTGGGTTCACACTACTGAACTTCTGGTTAGCAGCCCAACAGTAACCCACTAAGCTATCACAGCTCCTGAGTGATAGGTTTGTGTGCAGTCAGTTCAAAAGGTGCATGGCTCCTCCGCTGTGACATAAACCCACTGCGTGTGAAGTACCGGTGCGGGCCAGGCTATGCTACCCACACGGGCTTTGTGAGGAAAAGGAAACGGAATAAAACTCATAGTACGAAGCTCATGCTTTTTGTACTATGAGTTATAAAGTGCTTTTATCTTTGATCTAGCACCAAGGAAACATGAAAAGACAAAATTGATAGCTGACAAATAAATTGTATGGCCATTCCCAGATCCTGATAATTCAATCATGATGTACTCCAGAGCTTAAACCTGAACTCTGCTGGGCTGTACTTACCTGAAAAATGTGTTTGGGCCAGGTTCTTGGCATGGTAGGATGTGGCCCCCACGGACATGCAGGTTAATGAAATCCCAAGGAGCATCGAAAGAGTGAAGCTTCCCTCTCACACCAATGTCCTCCCCCTAGGGATGTGAAGGTGGAGAGGAGGACTGAGAGAGGCCCGAAGTGGCCTCCGCACCAACATGGATATGTTTATTTACTTGAAGGGGTACATTTTTATAAGACCACGTAATTCTGTTGTCAATTCGAAAAATAATAAAAACGCAAACATTTATTTAAGATACAACTTTGTTTAAAGTTATACACTTTCATGATCACCTTACAAGCTACTTATAGCCACTTTTTTAATGTAGTGCTCACATGTAAAATATGCACATTAAACAAAGGTTAAAAATGTAATCACAGATTGGCTTATGCATTATATTTTAAATTATTGCGCCCTTTTTAATGATCATTCTCCATTTTCAATAAAGAAAATTCCCCTTTGTTGTGTATTATATAGACTTTCTATTCCTCTTCATTAGAATAAATTTATGATTACATAACTGAAAATAGAATAACTCAGTTCTGTTGTATTTTACATTACATTAATTTAATTCAACTTAGCAAAATAAATTTTTTGATCTTTTAAAATAAAAATAATCCAAACTCATAATTACTAGAAAGACAATGGCTACACTGTTACGCATTCTATTTAATTAATTTTCCAGAATTTAACAAATACTTACTGTATGATAATTAAACCACCGAGCATTCGGGACATAGCCTGTTACTTTTTCAACATGCTGAAATTCAAAGGGAGAGTAATTAAATATATATAAGGCAAAAAAAGCAATTTTGTGTGAAAAATATTATGTTTCAGTACTTACAGGTTCCAATACAGGAGTAACCATAAATGCTGGACCCCACAAGAATTGTTTATATATATTCCAGGTTTCCCTATCGTCAAAGAACCTTAACAAAATAATTGCAAACAATTAAATTCAATCCAAGTCATATGCATCTTCTGAATATCATAAAATAATTTTCAAATAGCATTTTGTAAAATGGAATTTTCTGTCCAACTGAAATCATAAAATATCAGAGCACTCTATCATCTGCAATTTAATGTATAGCAGTACAGTAAATTATGAGTAAATCTGGTTTATAATGAAATTTCCTGACAAAATGTAGAGAATTATAATAGACGTAAGAAAAATTGAGTGACAAATTTTCTGGAAAAGGACTCATAGAAGCACAACTATTAGTTTTGTCTTATATATGATTTTGATAAGTTAGAAGCAAATAAGCTTGACTTCATGGAACAGAATTGTGAGTTAAATATGTTATCAGAATCTTGATTTTGTAACTTTAAAATTTACTTATGCTACCTAAATTAGAACTCACTAAACAGTGAATGCCAATGTCTTTATGCATTTCTTCCAGAGCCCATAAGTGGTTATGTATTGGGCTGAAATCACCAGGGGCTCTGCAGGACAAAGAGGGGGTTTTCTACTTCTGGAAAGAGTCACTGCCTTGGAACTCCACTGGCTCAGTTCTACACTGTCCCACAGGGTCGCTCTGAGTTAGTATCTACCGGACAAATGTTAAAACAGCTCTGTATTTGACGTAAAAAAATAACTCTTTTTTTTTGAGTTAAGAATGTTATTGTTAGTTGCCATTGAGTTGATGCCAGTTGATGGCAGCGTTATGCATTATAGAAGCATGTGAACCTTCACTAAATTATCCCGGTGATCTTGGTTAATGAAGTATACTAAAATTATTTCATTAGGAATTATTTGTAGTTTTAAACCTTTGAATTTTTTGGTTTTAATTGTTTGTTTTGATAACATCCATAGAAATAATATATTGGTACCTGCCTTAAAGGTAACAGTAGCAGAACATATTTCTAACCATGTTCCAGGGAATATAGTATTTCATATGTGGTTTGCACTTTATGGCTAAATCTAAAACATTTTTAAGGAGAAAGTTGAAGTTATTCTAGGGTATCCTATTAGCTCATGTCTAAGGAGAAGATAGGATGGCACTATGCTTGGTAGATTTACTTAACATCCATAAGTCTCAATAAATTTTATAGTACATAAAGTGATAATATCACTTATTTATGAGAATTTTAAAAAATTTAATGTAACAATATAAAATGCATTTAGAACAATATCTTATAAAATGTAATTATTATGTATTATTGCATTTCAAAAATTGTTCGGTGTGGTTCATGTAATCATATATATTAATTTTTCTGCTTAGTGGAAGAGAGATATAAGTAAAGCTCTTATTCACTCGTTTATTCTAAAATAATAATTAAAAAATCCCAATCTAAAGTGGTCTGTTTTTTGGACTATAAGAGATTGTTGAGTAAGTAAAGTGGCCTATGTATTGCACTGTAGGAGATTGTTGAGTAAATAAAATAAAAAGTATCTTGTTCTGCTGGGAAAAACAAAACAAAGCTTTATACTTACTCATGCAAAAGAGGTCTAATAACGGTTCCACCATGAACATGAATGTCGTGCATTTGTGTATAGAAATAAGGCAATAAAGTATATCTAATATTTAGAATATTTTTTGACATTTCAGCAAAAGTTGTATTCCAGGAAGCAGGATCTTGTCTCTGGAATACAGAAAAACAATATATATCATAAGATCTTGTCCATTTCATTTTAGAGAATAATAATCAAATATATATTTAGAGGATAAAATATAAAATAACATCAATGCAATGTCATGTGCAATGCAATGTCATCAAAGCATGAGCATCCAATAGCATTATTTTACTATCATACAGAGGGACAGAGAATGAGAAACAGAGTAGAGAAAGAGAGAGATGGCATAGATCCTGCTAACCCTTCAATATGAAAACAATTCTATCAATGTATATATTTCATTTCATTGAACCCAGGGCTTGATAAAATTTAAGTGAACATACATGAAAGATGACTCAATTTTTAATAAATGACATAAGTGCACTTTCAAATACAGAGAGAGTGATAGGGTAAGAAGTTCATTAGAGGAATGAAATACTATGTCACATAATTATAGATAGAAATAGCCCAAAATATGGAGAGCCAAAGATATGATGATCCAGCATCCTGTGTGCCCTTATGAATACAGAAGGATTATGCAATGAATGAAAAACCAGGATTGATGGTATTGTCAGTAGTACTAATACTGTGTATGAAGAGGAACTAATACAGGATTTTAAACACAGAACATCCAACAGTTCCTCTGCAATACAAATTCCAGGTCAAAAGGCTGAAGTTAGTAGTATAAAGATAAAAAGGTTCTACAGAAACACATCGTTGCACATATCACTTTCATATTATGTTATATTTTCAGTTATACCATAGAAGCAGACAATGCTATATTATGTTTCTAGGAGGCAATACTTTTAATGCTGATGCATTATAGAACTGTATCATATCTGTAGTGATTATGAATTTTCTTGATTTTAATAGTAAGAAAGCTTGAATTGTCATAAAAAATGAAATATTTTCACCAGTTAAAGCAAGTAAACTGGGAACTACTAAACTATGTCTAATCCTTTTGCTGCTTCTTTTCAACTTTAAGTGAAGAAGTTTTAAAGACCATATGTGTTGCTTATTGACTGCTAAAAATAAAGTCAATTTTATCATGTCTTATAACTAAAACCTAAGTCATTGCCATTGACTTGACTCAAATTCTATAGGGCGGAGTTGAGCTGATCCTTTCTGATCATATGCAGACACTTAATTCTACTCCAGACATTTCAAAATTTCAAATTTTAAATCCATCTTTAAATTAAGTTAAATTTTCTTTACTGTGCATTTGTATTTAAAAATTATTGTCTACTTCTCTATTTCAGATTTTATCTAACCATTTGATCGTTTACTTGTCCCTACTGAAATTGTACTGCTACTCATGTTTACATTAGTTGTTTTCTTTTACTAAAGTCTCTGATCAAATGTCATTTTATCCCCTAAAAAATCTTCTCTAAGGATCTTCACCGGTTTCTATCCATTTATATATATTTTTCCTTCATGTCTACTTATTTGTATTTTACTTACTATACACACAATTAGCTACCATTATCTATTTTCTATGAAAAATATGAATCATTAGGATAAGAACTTTGTAGATTCATAATTCTAGTGAGAGAAAACCTCGGTTGGCTTTTATTGACTCTTGCCCAAATCTCCCAACTGTGCTCTTGTTATTCTTGGGGACATTGAGTAGTTTCCAACATAGCAACCCTAGGAACAACAGAACAATACCTTTTGTCCCATGCTCACATGTTTGAGCTCAAGGTTGTAACCACTGTATCAATCCATTTTGGCAAGGGTCTTCCTCTTTTTCTCTATCCTCCTTCTTTCTACTCTCTAGAGTTCTAGTCTCAGAAATTCTAGGGCCAGTTCTAGCTGTTCTGTGGGTTTTCTGAGTCAGCATCAACTCAATGGCAGTGTGTGACTCTACTTTATCAATCATGATGACCTTCTCCAGGGACTGGTGTCTCCTGAAAACACACCCCAAGAACTTCAGATGAAGTCTTACCACCCTGGTTTGTAAGGAGCATCCCTGGCAGTGCTTCTTCCAAGAGAGATTTGTGTGTTCTTTTGGCAGTCCAAGGTACAATTAGTGTTCTTTGTTAGCACTGTACTTCCACTGCCCCACAAAGCCACCTGTCAGCACTATAATCCCAATGATTAGATTCTTCTGCATTCTCCCTTATTTAATGTCAAACACACATAGCATATGAGGTGATTGAAGACGCCTAGATGGGTCAAGTACATCTTAGTGCTCAAAGTGACACCCTTGCTCTTCACTTTTTTTTAAATCATTTAATTAGGGACTCATACAACTCTTATCACAATCCATACATACATCAATTGTGTAAAGCACATTTGTACATTCATTGCCCTCATCATTCTCAAAACATTTGCTCTCCACTTAAGCCCCTGGCATCAGGTCTTCATTTTCCCCCTCCTTCCCTGCTCCCCCCTCCCTCATGAGCCCTTGATAATTTATAAATTATTATTTTGTCATACCTTGCCCTGTCCGACGTCTCCCTTCACCCACTATTCTGTTGTCCGTCCCCCAGGGAGGAGGTCACATGTAGATCCTTGTAATCAGTTCCCCCTTTCCAACTCACTCTCCCTCTGCACTCCCAGTATCGCCACTCACACCACTGATCCTGAAGGGATCATCCGCCCTGGATTCCCTGTGTTTCCAGTTCCTATCTATACCAGTGTACATCCTCTGTTCTAGCCAGACTTGCAAGATAGAATTCAGATCATGATAGTCGGGAGCGGGAGTGGGAGGAAGCATTTAGGAACTAGAGGAAAATTGTATTTCTCATCGTTGCTATATCACACCCTGTCTGACTCATCTCCTCCCGAAGACTCCTCTGCAAGGGGATCTCCAATGGCCTACAAATGGGCTTTGGGTCTCAACTCTGCACTGCCCCCTCATTCACTATGGTAAGGTGTTTTTTTTTCTGATGATGCCTTATACCTGATCCCTTCGACACCCTACTGATTGCACCAGATGGTGTGCTTCTTTCATGTGGGCTTTGTTGCTTCTGAGCTAGATGGCTGCTTGTTGACTTTCAAGCCTTTAAGACCCCTGGTGCTATACCTTTTGATAGCTGGGCACCATCAGCTTTCTTCGCCACATTTGCTTATGCACCCATTTGTCTTCAAGGATCGTATCATGGAAGTGAATACACAATTATATGATTTTTTATTCTTTGATGCCTGATAACTGATCCCTTCAGCTTATTCATTTGCTTATTCACCCGCTTTGTCTTCAGCGGTGGTGTTGGGAAGGTGAGCATCATAGAATGCCAATTTAATAAAAGAAAGTATTCTTGCACTGAGGGAGTACTTGAGTGGAGGCCCCATGTCCTTCTGCTACCTTAATACTAAACCTATAAATATATGCACGTAGATCTATTTCCCCATCCTCATATATAAATATATTTACATATATACATATCTTTATCTAGACCTCTATAAATTCCCTTCATTTTTAAGAGGTCTTGTGTTTCCTATCGACCCAATGTAATATGTCATTCAATTTCTTCACTGCTACTTCTATGATCATTGATTATATTTCTAAGCAAGATAAAATCCTTGTCAACATCAATCTTTTTATCTATTTATCATAATGTTACCCATTGGTCTAGTTTTGAGGATTTGGGTTTTCTTTACATTGGGGTGTAAGCCATACTGAAGGCTGCAATCCTTGCTGTTCCTCAGACTTTCAGTCTCCCTCACTTTTAGCAAACAAAGTTGTGTCATTTACATATCAAAGATTGTTTACAAACCTTCCTTCTTTCCTGATGTTGTGTTCTGCTTCATAGCATCCAGTCTCACAGATATTCTGCTCAGCATAAAGAGTGAATCAATATGATGAGAGGATAAACCCCTGCTACACACCTTTCCTGATTTTAAACCATGTCTGTTCATCCAACTACCCCTTGGTACATAGACAGGTTCTGCATGAGCACAATGGCATGTTCTGGAATTGCCATCCTTCTTAATGCTACCCATAGTTTGTTATGATCCATACACCCAAATGTCTTTGCACAGTCAAGTGAACATAAGTAATTTTTGTCTGGTGTTCTCTGCTTTCAGCTCATATCCATTGGATGTCTGCATTTGTATCCCTTGTTCCACTTTCTCTTCTTAATTCATCCTGAATTTCTGGCAGCTCCCTGCCAATGTGTTGCTGCCACCACTGAATGAGTCCTCAAAACTTTGCTGGCATGTGATATTGTTGGCTAATTTCCACCTTATATGGGGTCACCTTTATTTGCAATAACACAAATCTGAATCTCTGCTGGCTGGTTCTTCAGGTAACTGTCTTCCCATTTTCTTGGCACAGATATAAAAGGTCTTCCAATGCTTCATAGCATGTCAGATTTCACTGGGTATTTTGTTCATTATTGAAGCTTTGCTTTTTGCTAGTGCTTTCAGCAAAACTTAGACATCTTCCCTCTGTAACTTTGACTGTTGGTCATATACTACCTCTTGAAATGGTTGAATACCTATCAATTATTTTTGGTGCAGTGACTCTGGGGACTCTTGTCATAGACTTTAGATGCTTTGTGCAGCATTCAGTATTTTGCCCACAGAATCTTTACATAATACATCTCAAGATTTTAATTTTTTCCTCAGCTTATGCTATGCTGAGCACTTTCTTGCTTTTTCATTGTACTTCCATATTTTTTCACATTTTATTAAAATTCTTGACTTTGGAATCTTGAGCTGCCCTATGAAATTTTCTGTTCAGAGCTTCATCTTCATCATTTCTTCCATTTGCTTTACCTACTCTGCAGTAAAGAACAAGTTTCAGCAGCTCTTCTGACATCTACTTTGGTCTTTTCTTTCTTTCTTGTCTTTT